GGCAGAACCAGGCCTGTGTAACACCCCTGGCCTGTGTAACACCCCTGGCAGAACCAGGCCTGTGTAACACCCCTGGCCTGTGTAACACCCCTGGCAGAAGCAGGCCCGTGTAGCACCCCTGGCAGAAGCAGGCCTGTGTAGCACCCCTGGCAGGAGCAGGCCTGTGTAACCACTCCTGGGACGGCTGCAGTGCGGCCTCCAGCTCAGCTGAGCCTGAGCAGAGGAAAACACCCTCCCGAGGGGAGCAGGGCGGGTACCTGAGCTTGCTGTTGCAGTAGGAGCAGCGGAAGCAGCTGATGTGAAACACCTGCTGGTTGGCAAAGAGCCTTTCCATGGGGTACACGGTCTTCTGACACCCAACACAGGTCTCCTTCATTGGCAACTGGAATTTCTGCGGGAGGGAGGGGAAAAGTGTGTGAGCTGGAAAACGCGTCGGCCGCCGGGGACTCGGCCTGGGTTCCCCCCCGAGCTCTCCCCAGTGGGCTCTGGTGGGCAGCCAGGTGGGGAGAGGCTACAACAGGCCCCCGGGGCTGCTGTGGCTCGACAGCCAGCCAGGATTTTACCCCAGTGAGCTCCACAGCTCCACCTGAGCAACAGGACAACGAGAACGCCAGGGCTGAGCCGGTTCCCAAAAGCTGCACAACCTCTTCCTGCAGCCTCAGCTTTTCTTGATAGGAAAATGATGAAACATTCCATTACAGCCAGGATGAGACTTACCAAATGAACAAAAATAGTGCAGAAAAAACTGAATCCTGGGATGGTTTGGGTGGGAAGGGACTTTGGTGATCATCTCGTTGCTGTGGGCAGGGACACCTCTCACTGGAGGAGCTGAAGCAGCCTCAGAAGGTGGAGGGTGGGAGAGGAAAGGAGTGAAACAGGAGTGAAATAATCCACTTTTGCCAAACCTTCCCTCTCAAAGAGGAGGAAAGAGTCTCAGCCCCGACACAGCAGCAGGAAACACTCCCTGCCTTCACTCCTGAACAATCCCAGCTCCATCCCAAAGAACCCACACTCGGGTTTCGGGACTCAGGGCCCCCAAACTCGCTGAAGAAAGTGAGCAGAGCTTGGAGGTTAAAGAGCTAAAATTCTGATGTGCTCACTGAACTGCCCTGAGGGTTCAGCAGGAGCTGAACACTGAGGAGTGGAGTGGCCCTGCTGTGACTTTGGGGTTGTTTTCCAACAGCACCAAAGAAAGCAAAAAACACTGTCCATGAGAGAAGGTGCCATTTGCTCCTTGGAATCTATTAACTCTGGCCAAGGGGGGAAAGACACTTTGCAGGAAAAATTAAATAACACAGTTGAAAAAATTGGCAGTTTGAGGCTGATTTAGTTGATTAGAACTAATTTGGCAGCCGGGGAGAGGAGAAAGCTCGGGCTCCACACCCTGCCCAGACACACTCAGAGCTTCCTCCAAACTTACAGAAAGTTTTAAGGAGAAAAAAAATAAATATCTGATGGCTGAAGAAAAAAACCAGGAAGGTCACAGGAAGACATAATCACAGCAATTTATTTATAACAGCCCAGGAACAATGGCCAGGAACGAAAGTTACGGTCCGAGGGGGGCAGATTGCTGAAGGCAGAGCCAGTTTTTGTCACAGCCAGAAAGTTTGCTGCTAATTTAATTCCATTTTAAATGGCGTTGCCTGAGGTTACAGCAGATTAAAAGTTCTGATTGCCACAGGTTGGCCACCGAAATTCAGAATTCCTCCCGAAAAAAGAATCCACAATTCCCAGGTGCTGCCGAAACTCTGAATTTTGAGCCCCTAAATGCAATCTCAAAAAAAAAATAAAAATAAAAACGCTTGCCCATTAAAAAGTCTTCTCCCTGAAGGTTTAAGTTTTCCATGGTGGCCTTGGTGGGCCCTGGTCCTTCTGCAATCACCCCCCCATGCAAGGAGAGGAACTTACTTGCACACAACGGGCCCTATGTCTGTGGAGAGGCGTTTTTGGGGGGTGAAGAGACAGGAATTCCTTCCCAGGACGCTACAAAAAGGAGCTACAGGAGGAAGGTGAGGCCCAATAAACATTAAAAAAAAGGACTGGAGAGAAAGCTGAGAGTTGAGCTCACATTAGGAGGGAAGCAGAAGGCAGGAGGAGAGGTTAGGAACCAAGAACAGGAGACAGAAGCTGGAAGAGACAAACAGGAACCTTAGGTGAATAAACAGCAGCTGGGTTTCTATCTCACAGTGCAGCATCTAAAGCAGTAACGAGGCAAAAAGGCTAAAAATGGTTCTAAGAATATAAAGAGAGCAGAGAGGACCAGGAGCAGAGATCACACAACTCCTCCAGGCAGCTCCAGTTCCCCACCCCGGCATTCCCAGCTGGGAAAGCCACATCTCCCTGATCTCTGAGGTCAGTGCTGTCCCTCCCAAAGAGGGGGAAAACCCCACAAAAGGCCAGTTGTTTCCTCAGGAGCGAGCCAGGAAGTCTGTGGCAGCCCAGGGGGACCCTCAGCCCAGCTCCAGACAGCTCATGTGAGGGGGAACTGCAGCGGGATCACAACACCCAGCGCTGCCCCTGGGCGTCCAAATCAGATTAACAAGCACAGTCCTGTCCCAAAGGCTGCTCTGTCGCTGCCCTGGAGGAACTGGAACATCAAAGACCCCTCAGAAAGCCCAGCCTGACCTTTCCAGTCCCAGTGCCCTCACCATGGAGCTGCTCCCAGCTGCAGCTCCCTTGGGAGCAGCTGGAAGAGGAGGGTGGGAAGCCGAGTCCCAGCGTGCTGGAAGGCTCTGGAGATCACTCCCAGGAGCTCAGGGCCCACCTCTGGGAGCACTGACAGGTCCTGCCACCACCCCCCCCTGCTCAACCCCTTCTCCCACCCCGAGGAGGAGCAGAGTCTGTGGAGCAACAAGCAGTTCCTGACCCAGCCTCTGGAGGAAAACCCCCCTTTTTGAGGTGTTTTCCGTCCTGATTTAAATCATTCCCTCACAAACACAGCCCGAGCAGACACCAGCCCACTCACTGCCAGGCCTCTGTGCCCACACTGAGGGTTCTCCAGCACCAAACAGGGACGTCAGATGGTTTTAACCCCCCCTGAATGCCTGAGATTGAAGGGCTGTGTTACCTTCACGGCTTTGGGTGGGGAGGCCTCAGCCTGGGCAGCTGCTCGGGCACCCACGTTCTGCTGCTTTGTGCCAACAGGTTTCTGAGCTTCTGCCTCGCTCTCCGAGTTCTGTCCAGCTGAGGGAGCAGAGGAGGGAGGAAAAAAAATGCAATTACAGTGAGGCTTTAAAGCTTTAGAGCACGGGCAGCTCGTGCTCACAGGGCATTAGTCTGGGTTAAGAGGTGAGGAGGCTTTTAACACTTAAAAAAGCGTTCAACCAGGGCAAGCAGGGGTTACAAATGTCTCAGAATTACAACTGCAGAAAACTCTGAACGGGAGAGAAGTTCTTGTGCAGTGGGAGTTGGGCACAGAGCAGATCTTTGGCACAGTCTGTGTCAGGGGATCATGAGGGGGCTGAGCTGAAGCGTCTCCCCCAGCCCTGTGAGCTCACCGTGACCATCCTCCAGCAGAGCAGAGGGCACAGCCGAGCTGCTCTCCCCCGCAGAAACCTGCAAGAGAAGGAGACAATGAGCCCCCCTGGCCTTCTGGGACCTGGACAAGCCCAGCAAACCCCCCCAGGCTGAGGCAGGGACAGACCCCGGGGGCTCAGGGAGGGACTTGCTGGGTTTGCTGGGTCACCACCAGTCCTGGCAGACAAGCTCGGAGCTGCACAGCTCTTGCAACGTTCAGCCCATCTGAACAACGTCAGCACACTGTTCACACACACAGACATCATGTTCCTGTTTCCCCCAGCACCTGCAGCTCCTACACCTTGACCTCCCACCCTCCAGAAATGGTTTGTTGAGGTTCCTCCCAGGTTTTCTCTCTTACAAATCCTCTGACACTTCCCCCCCCCAGGTCCAGCACATTTGCTGGAAATCTCATTTGACCAATCTGTGACATTTAAACATTCAGCAGAGACCGTGCTTTTGGGAAAAAAACAAAATAAAAAATTAATAATAACTTAAAAAAAGGAACAGCTGAATTCTAAGAAACTTTTGTAGAGCCAGACACCTGCTGGGACAGACGTGCTGGATCTGTATCCTGTTCATCCCCTTTTGGAAACAAATTCATACTTAAAAAAAAAAAACCAAAACAAATTAAAAACCCTTTTGGAAGAGCTGGATCTGAACAGTTTCAGACACTGAACAGACTCACAGAATTGTCTGGGTTGGAAAAGACCTTTAAGATCACTGAGTGCAACCATGAACCAAACACAGCACAAGCTCTTGATGCTCAGTCCTTTATTAAACTTGGCACTATTGCTGTTAAATCAAATAGTTTTAAGTAGCTGCGGCCGAGGACCTAAAGCACAGTAAGGAGATTAACTGCAAATCATCCCTAATTCACTTGAAGGGCTGAAAAGCCCACTGCCAGCAACCCAAATTTGCAAATTAACGAGTTAATGAGAAGGCAAATTGCATCTATTAACATAGTCTGGAAAAAAAACACTGTAACCCCGAGCCCTGGGCTGAGAATTCCCATTGAGAGGCTGGGACAGTCACTGGGACAGTCACTGGGACAGTCACTGGGACAGTCACTGGGACAATCATTGGGACAATCACTGGGACAGTCACTGGGACAGTCACTGGGACAGTCACTGGGACAGTCACTGGGACAGTCACAGTCACTGGGACAATCACTGGGACAATCACTGGGACAGTCACTGGGACAGACACTGGGACAATCACTGGGACAATCACTGGGACAGTCACTGGGACAGTCACTGGGACAGTCACAGTCACTGGGACAATCACTGGGACAATCACTGGGACAGTCACTGGGACAGACACTGGGACAATCACTGGGACAATCACTGGGACAGTCACTGGGACAGTCACTGGGACAGTCACAGTCACTGGGACAATCACTGGGACAGTCACTG